AGGTGATGAAGAGACCACCTAAGGACGGAGTTTAGACCACCCGAAGCTCGATGCAGACAACATGGCCGATCGGATCGTAACCATTTCTTGTGTCCCACTGATGCAACTCGGCCTACGGGAAGTTGCCATGGAAACGGGAAGTGACGAAGATGGCCCGGGGGAGAAGGAAAAGGAGGGCGCGGTTCTGCCGCAATGTTGTGCAAATGTAGAAAGAGAGACATCCGAACCGTGATCGCTGCCTTTCAGTTATTTTGTTTATTTTCTTCCGTTCTTGATCCAATCGCATCGTTTCGATATGTAAATTATTTACGTGCTCGATTTTATACCAAACAGTTTTTTAAATATTTGATTAAAGTACTGTACATACATAACGTTAGACACGCGTACGCTCTTAAGAAGTATACGTCTTTCGAGTCCAAGAAACTCTATTAGAATTCATATTTTTGGAAATAAAATACAGAGAAAAAAACCATTCACTTTCTCTTAAATTTCAAAAAAAATTTTTTTTTCTGAAGAGACTGAGACAATCCTAAAAGGATTTTTCCATTCAATCTTATTGTGTTCAAAGAAAACATCAATAATGGAAGCTGCATAAACCTATAACATTTTTTTCTACAATCCTCATATACCTGTATTTATGTGAGTAAGCCAAAATTCTTCGGCCATCTTTCCAATCGAATTCTCCACTATTCTAAGCTGGTTCCTCTTATTGTTTAGTCAAAATCGTTTCGTTAATTCGACAGGAAAGGGATAATAGCTCCATATCTCGACAGGAAGCAACACACCCAAGGTCAGCTTGTCGTTTCGTAACTTAACACCTTGTTTTGTTGATGGTTAATGGACGTTGCAAAGTAGTCGATAAAACAAAACTCGTGATGAATTTTTTTCAAGTGTTGAGAGGAAACGAGCTCGATCGAGTTTAACCCCCTTTTCTTCTAGGAAAAGTTTTAAAGATACAATTACAGAAGTGTCCAGGTTGCAAGAACAAGATACTTAATAAGTGAAGAAGTTTTTTTTTCCTCCTTGTTTTTATGGTAAAAGATAAAAGACAAATAAGTAATTCTGATACATCCTTTTCGAAAAAAAAGATGAAAAAAATAGAGAGATGTTGTTATAGAATTGATCAGAGTAAACTTTATAACGTAGAAAGTAGGATTTTTATAGTGTTGAAGATCAAAAGAAAGTTATGGATGTGTTCGAAAGATATATAGTTATAAATATCTAGACAATCGGATGAGAAGTAAAGTAGTTGTTTGCACAGCAATCCGCGTTTTGTTTACTCGTCGAACTTTTGATGTTGTTTGATGAAGAGAGACTCACCTGCGAACTCTGCAAGATCTAATCTGGTACAGTCTTTCATCTACGAAAGTTGATTCTGTCGAGTGAATGGATGCAAAGGGAAAAAATCTCTTTGAAACATTTATCATTGTTGTTCTTTTATCTGTGGTGATTGTTGCAATTTTTGCACAGATCCTTTACTTCCTCTGATTGTCCTGATCTAATTGATAAATGAGAAGTTAGTAGTTAGAAGAAGAAGCAGTAGCGAAGAACTAAAGATTTGAAATTATATGGAAAAAATAGAAAAAAAGCTAAACTTATATAACAGTCTTCTCGAATCTTCAATTCTTCATTATTATAATCACCTGAATTTTTCTATTTTAATATGAGGGGAAAAATGGTAAAATAAATACATCGTTAAGAATTTAAATACAAATTGCTGCGGAGATTGGATTCGCCTGTTTTTAATCGCTGTTTAATTGAAAGATTTTTCTACAATCGTCGTAACGAAGACGAGTTTTAAAAGTCGATATTAAAACGTGTCATTGCTTATATAAATCCTAAATTAAAAGGTTAAAAGGTGGGGAAAAATATATCGATTGAGGTTTTATTCATGGAATTAGTTACCAGTAGCGGTTGTGTGGAAGAACAAAAGTGGACAGAACAAGTTAGCTTCGATGAGGTGTGGTTGATTGAAAGAGAGAAACGCGAGCTTACCTGTTGGCCTAAGTTGTTCACGTGGATACATCTTAGGCTGAGTGAGTGGACTGCGTCGCCATGGCAACACCACCCTTCTTCTAGTGTTTAATGGCGTGTTTCCCGGCCAACGACCTATCAAGGTGAAGAAACATGGCGCCGGCTCACACTACAATGTGACAGAGCTGTTAGAATGGTGGTGATTTATACCGACGCTGTGTCGTCTTACGGAAATGTCATTCGCTTGACGGCTATTCATACCCCTGCAAAGTTTTGTAGGCAGAAAGCTTTTAGCTGCACGATCTGAAACAAACGGGCAAAAAAATAAAAATAAAAAAACCTTCGCCCACTCACTCTCTCTCCCTCTCTCTCTCGTAGCTAGAAGAGCAACACGTTGCCTAGAAATGGTGCATTGCGGGTCATTTGAAGACGATGACGCTCCCCTTAAGCTCGGTAATGTGCTAATAATAATAATGAGGATTTAAGAAAGCCTAAAGTGATGAGTCTCCTCCGAAAAAAGAAAAATACTAAGTTTACTTATATTTTTTCTTCGGAAAATCGAAGTTAACTTTGTGCAGTTTGAATAAATTTTGCGTTAGTTTATTTACTGTGGAGAAAAACAGCTATTTATTTAAATTTTGTTTTTTATATAAAAATGAAGAAGGATGCGAGTTTTCCAGTTAATTTTATATAGATTTTTTTTTCCCTGATGCTTTTGGAATGATCGATAAATATTTTATATAGAAGAATATTTATTGAAATTCGAATAGTGTTGAAAGGAATCCATGAAGTTTTTATATATTTTCAAGCAAAATCTTACGCCTGTTTCATAGTTAAATATGGATTTTCATGTACAATAAAACATCGAAATGTATATTAGAATAGGTAAGTAAGTTTACATGGAGGAGGTTGTCGTTTTAAACTTATTGAAAAATTGAAGTTTGGAATACTGAAACGTATTAAAATAACCGAAATTTCAAATATTTATATTAAATATTTTGAAAAATAACCAGGTTAGACAGTTATTTTGAGAAATATATTTGAAAATACAGTTGCAAATATTAAGAAACGTATTGGAAAATCGATTTTATATATTCGAAAATCATGCTGAAAATAATGAGCTACTGTTTTAAAAATCATGTTTAAATATTAAGTTATTACTTTTTGAAAAATGTTTTCGAATGTAGAGTTTCAATGTTAAACAAGTGTTAAAATGTAGGGATTTAAACGAAGCTGTAACATATAAAATGGTTTTCATTAAATAATAATAATTTTTAAAAGCACAAGGTCCTAAATTCAACATATAGTATGAAACCCCTGTTGTAGCTTTATGTATAAATCCGGCGCTGAATAATGGCTTTCCAATTGTTTAAAAGCATAGCCTACTTAAAGTAGGGCTTGTTAGATTATGAAGCATTGCTATTATCGAACTTTAATCATTTCCATAAAAGTATTGAATCAAAAGTGCTTCAACTACGAGGATTATCAAAAACTGGGAATACATTATAATTCTTTCATAGCGATAATGAAAGATTGAAATTCGAATGCTTATGCTATCTCAACAAGACAACGATTGTTAGGAAGTAAAGACAGTTAATGAATCTGCCAGGCAGTTTATATGAAGAGAGACAGAATCCTCCGTCTTTGCTTGCCGGGGACATTTAGTTAGGCACGTCTGTGATTAAATATGTCAGGTGACATACAGAGCCAATTAAAAGTCCATTGTGAAATAGCAGACAACGTGAAGGCATCGGGAAAGAAGATGAATGGGCACACTACTCGTTCTCAATCCCTCTGGCATTTTTCTCTCTCTCGATATCTACCTTAATTTTGCTGTAGAGATTACTAATTCTCTAGAGATGGTCGACGTGACTAGATGGTCTCTTTTGTTAAATCTAATCCGTGCATCGGGGATGGGTTCCTATTGCGACACCGGGATTTATAATATGCGTCAGAATTAATCTGTGCAGTTGGGATTTTGTGGCTCGCACCGTCCACGTGTTAATGAAACTGTCAAAAAAAATGGTAGAAGAGTTTCTTAGGCTTTTTCTTCCCCCCTTTTTTTATTTAATTTACTGCATCCGTAAGGTTACTTATCGAGATTGTATCAGTATGAGAAATTGTTAGCGACCGAATGTATCTATCTACCTGGTATGAATGAATCGATGCTGTTGTCTGATAGATAATACTCGCTTCTGCTCTCCGTTGTTACATAGCTGACAATGAATGGTGGGCCATTTTGGAGCCTACAGCACTATTGTTAATTGGCAGACGAGCAAGAACGGCCGTCGGGGTGTATGCTATTCTGCTTATCTACCTTTTCCTACTGACAAATGATACTCCTGATTTCGCAACAAGTGATTATTTCTTCTTTTTTTTTTCTTCTCATTCTTACAGTATGTCTGCCTCCTTCTAGTCGACATGTCTGAAACGAAACAGTGTGATAATCTTTAAGAGATTCAAGAGATAGTTGCATGTAAATGATGTTTTCTAACTCTTGTAGTAATTATTTTTTGAAAGGTTTTTTTTAAAACTAAAACAACCAATTTTGTCTAATATCGATTTGTAATTTTTAAAACTTTAATAGAATTCATGTTCAAAAAAACGTTTTAGTATGAAAATTGTTAACTGTTTTGTATTTCAGTATTGTTTGCCTATACAGAAATGTTATTTACGTATTAAAACGTGTGAGAAAGTATAATTTATACACGAAAAATATTGTATTTTAATCGATTTTTGTTTAAAAATAATATTTTCATTGTGTTTTTTTTATAAGAGATTATTATTTTTTTAATAATAAAAAATAAAGTCGTTAATAGGTTATTGGTTTTTGCACTTACAAATTTCAAATTTTAATTGAATTTTTTTTAATTTTTATTTTGGAGTAAACGTTTATCGGCTTTTAAAAATTAATTACAGAAAAATGGCTTGGTTAAGGAGGAGGAAATTTTCGATTTTTGTCTTGATTTTATTAATTATTCAATCATATTAATGGGAATTATTTATACTTTGTTTTATTTTTTCAGGTGAAACATTCTGAAAGTGGTGTTTGTGCCATGAAAGAGAAAAGGAAGTATTGGGGCGGGGGATGCGCCAAACTCGTGTTGATGCTTCTGTTTCAATGTTCTACGGTGCTAGCCACCAATAATTACGTCACGTTCGAAGACCTGAAGTGCGAAAAGTTTAATCACATGACAATCCACGACTACACGGAGCGAGTGTACGTCGGTGGAGTGAACAGGATATACCAACTGTCACGGGATTTGAAACAGGAAGCCATGGCTATCATGGGACAGAAGGACGACAGTCCCAAATGTCCGGTAACGCGGAATTGTCCGGACGAAATCAAACAACCGACGGATTATTACAATAAAGTCTTGGTCATAGATTATCCCCAGAGTCGCTTGATTGCTTGCGGAAGTTTATTCCAAGGTATCTGCACTGTACACAAATTAAATAACGTATCCGATTACGAAACTCCAGCAAACGAGTCCGTAGCTGCCAATAATGCCACCGCTTCAACGGTGGCATTCATAGCTCCAGGACCAAGAAATCTTCCACGGACGCACGTTTTGTACGTGGGTGTATCGTATACGGGGAATGGCCCTTATAGGTCGGACGTCCCTGCCGTCAGCAGCAGAAGTTTAGATCCCAGTAACATGTTTGCTACGGCTCATACCGGAGTCACCACCGGAACAAAAGTTACAGTTAATAGCATGTCCAGAGAGATTTACCCAATTACTTACATATACGGATTTAGTTCCAAAGGATTTTCGTACTTTGTTACGGTGCAGAAGAAGTATACTACCCCACCTAAGCCTTTCATCTCTAAGTTAGTTCGGATATGTCAGGAAGACGTACATTATTATTCCTATACCGAAGTACCGTTGGTGTGTAGGGCACCAGATGATACCGATTACAATTTGGCACAAGCCGCCTACGTAGGAAGACCCGGTTCCGAATTAGCGGTGTCTTTAGGAATAACAGCCCAAGATGATGTGTTGTTTGTTGTGTTTGCCAAGTCTAAAGACGAAGCCGATGTCTATAACAAACCTAGCTCCACTTCGGCCTTGTGCGTTTATGCTTTATCCGCCGTCCACAGGAAATTCACTCAGAATATCCAAAATTGCTTCAATGGAAACGGCGATCGCGGATTAGATTTCATCAATCCCAGTCAACAATGTCTTAATACGGTAAGTTACTGTTTATTTTATCTGTTGTTTTTGCTAAAAGAATTTTTATTATTTTGGATTTTTTATATCGATGAATTGTGCTGAATCCGTTATACATACGTTATCGTGTACCTACTTGCGGATTGACTCACTGACTGACTCATCAAAATTGGAAAGGCACTTCTAATGGAGCTACAAATGACATTTGGCACGCAGGATCATTGTGGCATTAACACAATTGAAAAATCTATAAACACCACTCTAAATTTTTATAGAAAGTGACAGTAATCTTCCCACTTAATCGAAATATACAAGTTTTACAAGTACCTCAATTTTTCCAAGTACTTTAAAAGTTCATAACAACAATAATGCACCATTGCAGAAAGAGGGATGTTCTCTGCTAAATGACAGAGATTTTTCTCGGTCGTTATTGTCTAGACCATTTCACTTAAAATTCTCGTAAAAATTAATTTTAGATGCAACAAATTCGGTAGATTTTCTTTCGAAATTTTATTATTTTAAATATAAGCGAACGAGGAGCAAATATTTAAAATAAATTGTTTGATTCTAAGTAATTTTTCTTTCTTTTTATCGGCAGATCAAATTATTCTGTCGTTAGATCCCGTTAATAATTACAGCAAGCAATTATATACAAACAAATATTCGTATTTGGGCAATTTTTCTTCCTCTTCTTCTGTAAATTTTCGTGTTTTAGTTAACAGAAATATGGAAATTGTTCAATAATAACTCGCTTCTGACTGTAATTAATGTCACGCTATGAGAAACAATATCGACAGAAACTACATCCATTCGTCTTTCTTAAGATAGATATAAACACGCTTTCGTGTTTATTATTTTTCGTTATCTAAATTCTTTTAGTTGAAAAAAATATTCGTAAAATACAGAAGCAACTGTGCAATGTATATATAACGATTCCTCCAGGAAGGATGAACCGGTTCAAAAATATGCATCAGAATTTAACAAGTATATAAATAATAATTAATTGACATCTGGCACGGATTTTGCGCTACTTACAAGCAGTTTTTTTTGTGTTTTTTTTTCTTGAGAAATCCATCAAGTTTGATACCTCCTTGTATCGATCACATAATGCTTTAGCACGATCCATTTAATTCGGTTTTAGCTACCAAAAGTTTTTAATTTGATTTTTTCTTGGGATGTTGTATTAACCTCAGAAACAACTTATCTTCGATTTGTTGAAGAAATTTGTTCGCAAATAGCGGAAGCTACGACTCTCGAAGGACCCTTATGGTTTCAGTATCCCTTCAAATACCATGGGATGGTACGGGAGCATCTAAAGATTGCCAAACACGGTTCGGTCCTACCAATTTTTAAGAATGGACACAAGGGATAGCAACGTAATCGTCACCGTGGGATTATTGTCGTCTCTCTCTTCTAGATACAGACTCCGTTTAGGTGTTCGTCTACGCTAGATTTGGACCTTTTCCAAAAAAATAAAAATCTGCAAAAAGTTTCCAGCTCAGTCTTGCTTTAAATGTATCAAAAATGTTTTGACACTAAAGCAATTCGCGATCTTCTTCAAAAATTAATTAATATAAGTTATATACATAAACTTGGCCATCTCCTGAGGATTTCCAGCGTTAAATGATTAATTTTCGAATGGCGAATGTTATATAAAAGTTATCGTGCTAAAGACTAGTAGCGGATATAATGGAAATCTGATAAACAAATGCAAGAGGCCAACTAGCAAATCCATAAACAGGAATGATCACTCTGCAATATTGGCGATTAGCTGGGAAAAGATCGAAAAATGCAATGTTCATTAATACTTACCCTCTGGCCGTTAAGAACCTTCCCATCTAACCGCTTCTACCAGTAAATTAGCGTTACCATGACAACCATATAAACATTGCCTCCTTTTTTCCACCCTGGTTTCTCTTCCACCCCTTCCCAGAATCATTTAGGAGACTTCAGACAAGTTATTCTAGACTTTAAAGCGAATTAAAAAAAATTTCCTTTTTATTCTGTCTTAACGCGGTATTACGTCAAGTGGATTAAATTTTAAGTTTACAGAAGCGTTGAGACATATTGCTATGTAATTAGTATGCAAATAACGGGTCAAACAATTACCTGATATCTTTAAAGAAAGATACCGAAGAGGAATTTTTAGTACGAACATCATTAAAACATGTTGTCGTACGCATTTTAGTGAAGGGAAAGAGTAATTGAGTTATATATCTGTTTTCCATTTTTTTCCTTTTTTTCTGATGTACCTAAAAGTGTTTATCGATTGCTGATGGATATTTTTCAATTTTTAATAATCTTTTCTTACTCTTTCTCTTTCTCAGTTCTCTCCCCTCTTCTAAGCAATCACTTAAAAACTTGTTACAGTTTAACACAATCAGAAATAATTTCCGCTTCGTTTCTTTTCTTATTTGCTAAGATTAATCATCTTCGTTGGAAGAATCTTTTCAAAGATTTATATTATATCTCCACTCGAAAAATTCTATTCTTTTGTATAATTTATATTCCTATTTTTATCAAAGGAAAGAATTCGCATTTTCGTAACTCATTTTCATACAAATCACACGTTTTATGCCGATTAAAATTTATTACAACCTTAATAAAATATACATATATATAATAATAATAACAATAAAAGTCAGGAATGTATCTTTCAGGGGTGCGTATCATGTAAGAATAATTATCATTTATCCTTAGAGCGCGAGGGTGGCAAGTGTTTGATATATATAGGGTAATAACGATCCTGTTCTAGAATACAGACCATTATACGGATTTCCCTGTAGAAATGGAACTTCCATGACTGATAGAGCGATCTTTTGTTTGTACTTTCTCGACACATCATCCTCTTCTCTTCTACCGCATCCGACAGAATTTTTTTAACTCGAATTTTCTACTAACAATTCATATTTTGAATTCTTTCGAAAATTATTCACCATTCGTGTTTTGTATTTTTAACATCAACGAAAATGTAGTTCTTTCGCTTCTTTCTTGCAATAATTTTATTGAATTTATATATATATATATATAAATTTTTTTCAAGAAGGGAAATAATATAGTCGTCACATATGATAATAACTTCTTTTTTCCGATTGTATTTTATATAGTTCTATCTCATTTTCATGCGAAATTCTCTTCATTTCCTTCTACAAATTTCTGTTGTGCGAGTTTGTCTGCACCTGCAGAGATAGAGGAAATGAGAGCAATAAAAATATTCGGCTACCCATCTGTAGATGTAAAGCTATGGCTAACACATCTTCTTTGTTGCTTTGCCTGATACTTTATGCATGTTAACTCATGAAAGGAAAGGGAGAAAAAAGGAGAATACATCCATAAAAAAAAATAAAGAAATGCGAACTTCAGCGAAAAGTTCTTTTCATAAAACTCTCAATAGATAATTATCTGAGTAAAGTTCAATTTAGAGAGATATATCTCAATTATTATTAATATTTAACAAACTGTATAGAAAAATAATTTATCATCAAACCATTATGCGACTGAACTCTATCGGAGGGTATAATTTTAAACTAATTAGATTCATTAGTATTCAGTTATTGTTCGTTGGTTATTAACATTCATTTTTAATCGAGAAACCAAGCATTTTTATCTGAATTTGTACGTCTTTCTAATTTGTCAGACTTTGCTTTTGAAGATTGATCCTATTAGTAATGCCTTCCACGCCAAATCTCACCTCGGGCACTAAACTAGACTTTAGAAAATTGTTCAAAGTCATCAGAATGTTGCGTCAGCGATCACTAAAGAGTTACATCTAAGTACTCCTTTTGATAAAAGGCATAGAAATTCTTTACGGAACAAAAACACTCTTCACTCCACTTTATCTTCAAGAAGAAGGGGTGGAGATTCTTCATTTAGATGTTTGGAAAATTACATTCTCTCCTACTAATTTATGCTTCGTTTTATCCACTGGCATTGTCGTATCGGAAAAAGAAAACTTAGCAAAATTAAGCTACCATTTTTCTATTTATTATAATATATACCAACTCTTACAACCGGATCGATAAAATTTTAACTTATTATTTTACTCTAGCGTAAACCTATCTCGTCTTTCATATTTCAATAATTGCAATGAAACTACTCCGTTTTCTATCTAAAATTCTATTATTTCTCGTCGGAAATGATGTCTTTTGAAAAGCGGCACAACGTCTTCTTCGTGCATCAAAAATTATATATATACATACATATATATATAATCTTGCCGTAAGCTTCGTATAATTCTTCAGTAATTTAAAATGTGATTACTTAATGATGTCTTCAGTTGATTGATGAAATCATATCTAGCGATTGTAAGTTGTGTTTACTTAAAATGAAATCTCATTGCGGCGTTTTCCAAACATTCAACCAACGGTAGCAATACTGCTGATGGATATAATTACTCTTAAGAATGGACTGAAGAGAAAACGAAGTTTCTGTTTGCTTTTCCTAACATCAGAAACTTCTGATATTAATTTTACAATGTTTGTTTTATCGACAGCAAGAGTCATTAGCAAGGTTTATTTTGGCTGCGTCAAAAACAAAATGGCGACGCCGGATAAGACGATGTGCCCTTATATTTCTCCCCTTTTTTAACCTTTCAAGATGATAATGGCCTTCTCTAAGCGATCATCATTCTCGAATTTTAATAATCCATTTACATACAATGTATATGATGTTATCATCATTTCGATATTATCATTTTAATCACCATTTTCTTAGAATATCTAAATTAAAACTATCATATATATATAGATATATTATCATCATTAAGAGATTATCATCGTTTTAGAATATTTGAATTAAAGCTGCATCGTACGTAATTATATACATAAATGATGATTATCATTATGGTTCTTTTATGTAGAGCTACATTATCATGTTCAAATGATCATCAGCCTCTTAGAATGTCTAAATTAAAATTCTGTAGTTTGCTATAAAAATTTTTCGACGTTAAGAATTTAAAAAAAATTACAAATCGCGGAACGAAATCATTAATTTTTCAAACTTTCCCCTCGTCTGTTGTAACAAATCTGAAGTTGTATAGATAACTAACAACCAGAAAATTACGAAGAGGAGCATATAAATATATTAAAAACCATACAGCAGCTCATAAAACTATTAAAATAATTAAAAACTATCAACATGCACGGCATTCTTGTAGTGTCATCATATTAATACAAGACGATGAAGGGGAAAAAAGAAAAAAAAAGACAAATTTTTATATTGGCCATCTACTGCGCCAACTAATGAAAAATTGAGCTATTATTCTAAGTATTCCACAGGACTTAATTGCGAATCTCTCTCTCCCCTTCTCTCTTTCACTCCCTGTACAGCACATAATGTTGCAATTTCACATCAATAATTGTAATTCAAAAAAGGTGCGGTTCGTAACAAGTTAAGAGAAGCAACCGAGTTGTCGGAAGTGTTAAAAATAATGTTTTGTCACCCGATATGGTCACCCAAGTCCATTACCTTAAATACTTACTTTACTTCAATGCCATTTCGACCAACGTTCTAATGGGAGTGGATAATGTTCAGATTGCATGCTTTCTACTCTCTAACCTCATTAGTCTCACTCTTAGCATTGCTACGAAATTGAGAGCCGAATCTACAGAGAAAAAAATTAAAAAAGAAAATATATATATAAATATATTGGCTTATGTCTACAGTAACTTCAACTGCATATTGCAATGCATGGATTGCGCTTTGCGGCATTCAGAAAAAAGTAAATTTTATGCCATAAAAACAATTGCTTTACATTAACGAAGTATTCTTTATTAAACTCTTAAAGATAATTTGTATTTATTTTTACTCGATTTTTGCCATTTCTAGTAGAATAATCTGTTGTTATTCTTTAATTAAAAAGTTAAAAACGTGTTCATCTTCAATTAGAAATTATCTGCGAACGATCTTTAATTACAAAAAAAAAAAGAAAAAAAAAAGAGATTTAACTCCATTCTTTTTACTATGCAAATCTTTAGAAAAGAATGTAACGTTCATGTTAATTTTTTCCCCTCTTTCTTTTTATTCCACTCACAAAAATTACTTTGTCTTTAAAAATAAAAAATAATAATAAAAAAAATGAAAAGTTAATATTTAATCTTTGCTTTTTGGAAATTCAAACTTTTAGCTAAGGTAATCCTCAACAACTTAGAAGAAGATTCTTGACATAAACGGTAAAATTATCATAATAGACTAAGGAATCCCCAGAAGTGCTTATTTGCCACCTATTTAAATATTAAAAAGCGATCGAGTTTTTTCCTTATTTTATTTTTTGATATTTTTTATTTATATATTGCCGAAAGTTACAAGATGAAAAAAGAAAAAAATATTGGTAAAAAATTGGAAAATTTTTGCTTTAAATAATATTACACCGTCGGTCATTATTCAAGAGGACTCCCACCTTGAATAACGTATTTTCCATCAGACGATTGAAATATTAATGAGTTTCTCTGAATATTTTAAGCTACTAAGTAACTATACTAAGAAAATTTTCTTGGTAATTTTCTGTTTCTCCTATTACCATCCATTCAAATGTATTACTTGTCTCTAAGAAACAGCCGTTATATAAGATTATCAAAGAAGTTTCCAGAGTGGAGTTTATTTATTTTTTTTCTTCTTTTTTTATTCATCAAATTAACTTCTTCCTAAAAATTCACTGATAAGTGTATTTACTGTTTATATAAAATTAAAGAGTTAATTAAACTCATTCTAACAAACTGTAATTTTTTTTCTTTTTCAATAATCTCTTCTTGCAAAAGAGATAAGATTAGATAATCGTTGCGATGATCAATATTAAAAAAATATTCTACAGCTATTTAATATTATTATTATTATGAAAAATTATAATGATATACTGTTTAAAATGAAGATTTTTTTGGGTTTTAATGATTTGAATAAGGTTTTATTTTTCTCTTTTAATGTTAACCTATCACACGTTATTGCTGAAAATGTATCTTGGCTGTGTGAAATAATATCGATTAGTATTTTTCTTGTGATGGAATTCGACGCTACAAACGGTTCAGTTCACAAATCAGTCAATATCTAAATATTACATAAATTTTATTGGTCAAAACTTCTACAAAACGTTATTTGCCACTGTTGCAGATTTATATAGAACGAGTATAGAGCGATCTTACATATACGTAAGACAGAAAACTGAAATTTTCGTTTATTAAAATACTTTCCTGCATTGCAGAATTTCCTACTACTCCTTTTGCATCAATTTTTGTCAGTTCATCGATCATCTTGCATTTTGTTCTCAAAATAATTTCCTTGATACGCGATTACATAAACAAACGTAATACGAAAAATTACATCTTGTACCCGATTTCTTATATCTTCGTTTTGATTATTTTGAAGGGAAAAAGTACCGTGGAAGAAGAATAAAATTGTTATTTTATTTGTATATTTTAATATTCATTTTGTAGGTAATTTGATTATTCTCGAATCGTGATAAGTAGTAGCTCGAATTTGTTGCTGTAAAATAATAGAAGTTGCTATTCGTAGATTGTTATTAGTGGCAGATCGAAATAGGTTGAAGATCAGCGAAGTGCAATAAAATGATCTAAATGTAAGTTTTAAGTTAATTAAAATGGGAAAACGGGACGTAAATTTTGAAGGCAATAACGTTTTACCAATACGACTAATTGGATTACGTCAAAATATTCAATTAAATTGATTAATTTTATTTATACGATTGGCTCCGGACGTACCTTCTTTTATTTTATTTTTTTATTAATTCTGGCTTTTATCTTTTTGACAGCAAGTGCAGATCAATGACGATTTCTGTGGAATGGACGTGAATACCCCCTTAGGCGGAAGCATGCCAATGGAAGCAACACCTGTTCTCACCTATCCCGGGGTCCTGCTGACAGCGGTGGCAGCTACTTCCACTCACGACTACACGGTGGCATTTCTTGGCACTTCCATTGGCCATTTGAGAAAGGTGAGCCTCGTTAAGAAAATGAGTTAATGGTATCCTGGCATTACTTAAATGTATTAACTTTGACTATCGGCACCGAGCAGACAGTTAAGTCCACTATAAAAATCTCTCGTGTATCCATTACCAAAGAACATGAAACGTTTTATTGAGAAGATTTTACATCTCGCCTGCGAAACCCTCAAAAATCGCCTTCTTTTATGGGTTGATCTCTGGTTATTATGGTTTGACGTCCAAAGAGTTAAACTATTGTTTGCAATACTTCATTAGACGGATAGTAATTGTTATTGTTAAGATCTGGTACGGGATTTAGAGTTAGGAAATGCCATTTTAATGGGCTTTTTAAAATACGAACTATGATCCGAGACGTTAAGTGTCGCTTTTAAACTACACTAAATATATATATATATATAGTATATATATAAGAAAAAGTTTTACTATCTTAATGTCGACTTCCAGAAAATTACGTTAGTTTTTTTTAATGATTAAAAATGGCGGAAAACGTTGGAATTTTCGTTCACGTGACTGAATAAGTTAAACATCAAATATCAAGTATCAGTTTGTTTCGGGAAGCGTTCCATTTGGTTGTTGATGGGTGAGGCAAATTGTGCTGCGAAAACATCAGCACCTCGGAGGCATAGATCATTGCCTATACATTCCTGCAATAGTATATCTTTGCTTCATTTGCATACCAGCTGGAACACATTCTCCAACCAGACAGTTAACGATGGATCAAAGAAAGACATATTGCCGACTCTTCCACGACATTAGCGATAAGCACTAGCTATTTATTTTCGCATTAGTTATTGATTCGTCTTGTTATAATAAACATTTATTAAATATTCTGTCGATATTTAATATGTTAAGGTATGTAATAATCATATATTATTTATATTTTTTTTTTGCTTCGTAAACATGACGTTAAAGAATGCTCCCGTATCATTATTCAGATTTTTCTATTGTGCGCAACACATGCCACAGTTTTACCGAAAAACGATGCCTTAATGCATTTTTCTTTCGTTTTTTATTTTGCCAGCCCAAAATTTGCTGAGGGGAGTAAAAATATAGTAGAAAGTATAGTGTATAGTAACAATGCAGTTGAATAGAGCAGAAGCTATTAGTAGTGTTATGGAGTAGTAGAGGATAGTAAATACCTTCAGTTCCTATTGTACTGTACTATTATTATTTGCTGCTTCTTATGTTATAATACTAATACTTTCTGTTCCTATTGTATCATTATATTCTTTTTAAACTTTTATGCTGGTATTTTTTACTCCTAATGTATTATTATTATTCTCTGCTTATATTAAAATATTAATATTTTCTATTCCTTATATTATAATACTAATAGCTTTTACTCCTATATTATAATATAAGGAGACACAGATAACAATATAGTAAAAGCAGAAGATACTAGCTTTATAATTTAAGAAACAGAAGATATTACTATTTTAATATAGGTAGTAGAAGGCAGTAACAACGCTATTAAAAGGAAAGGATACTACACATAAGCATCAGTAACAGAAAATTTAATATTATAGTACAAGTTTCAGATAATAACGATACAATAGGAATAGGAGATATTAGCATTAAGATATAAGGAACAACAGAAATTAATAATAGGATAGGAGAAGATATTATTATAAGGTGCAGAGAATATTAAATTAATGCAAGAATAGAAGATAGTGTAGAAAGAATTATTAATAACGTATAAAAGAGGGCAGCAATAGTACAACAGAGCACAAGATGTTAGTATATTAGTAGGAGCAGCATTTGATAGTAACATTATAGCGGAAGGAGCATATAATATAATACGACAGCAATGAAACAGTAGTAATAGAGGAAAATACAATATCCGCAATATACAATGGAAATTAATTTCCCTAAATAATTTGTCGTAGATAAAAGAGCATAAGCTTTTATATTTCATAGTTTATATAAATACTTAGTTGGAAAATTTGTATTTTTTTCTTATTTGACAGATAATAGATTTATTTTGGGATTAAAGAGTCGTAAAATCAAATCTGCCTTCATCCGCATCCGAGATGTTCGAATGTAATATTTCGTATTTCCTCTCCTGGGTTAAATTCCGCCGAATTGAATGAATTACAAAATTTGTTGGCAGAAAGTAAGACGAATGAGGCAGATAGTCAAATGAGTGTTCTATATCCGCACGTGCTCCATCCAATCATTTCCGGTTCTCTTAATGATTCCGGTTGCTTCTGATTGGCTCAATCGGAAATAAAGATGAGTCCAGGTGCAAATTTTTGGCAATAAAATGTTCTTCTGATAATCGTGTTTTTCTCCAATTTTTTCTTCTTTTCTTTCTTTTATATTTCGAAAATTTCAGATGGGAATAAGGTTGAAACATAAAATTTTTATATCCAAAAATAAAGTTTTTTTTTTCATTCTCGAAGAAATATTTATATATATATTTAAAAAAATCAATATATATTTTTATACTAAGATTAAATAAGTATATTAATGTAAATTTTAAAGTATAAAATTTAAAATTCAATCAATATTAAACCTTGGTTTGAGTATTAAATCTTATTGGTTAAGATTCAAATTCAAAATTTTGTATTCGCCCAATGGAACGTCTTCTTTGTTTTACGTATTATTTAAATAAAAAAATTATTCTAATCAAATTTCTTTAAAGAAAAATAATAATAAATGACGAAGATTATTAATTTTTAAAATGATTTTTAAAACGTATAATCGTTATAAATTGATATCATTCGAAATATTTTTGTTTTTTATTCTTTAATTTATGGTTATTAAAATAAGTTATATTTTATTTTATTTTTTTTAAATTATTGAATAAAGTAGTTAAATAATCCATAAAAACAATTTCAATTAATTAAATTGGGAGATTCTTCATCATAATAATATTAATAATAAGATAATAAAGTTAGCATTTTGTTATTGATGTTGCTCGAGGATTATAATAATCTTAAAAGTAATTAATTTTAATTTAATTTTTTTAATATTTCGACTCGAATTTTTTGTTTAAAATCAAAAAGAACCTCCTTGACTAGTGGCGACATCTAGTGAGGTGGAGTTTAAATAAAGCGACGGTAGTAAGTACCGATGCAGCTACAGATCGTAATTTAATTCGGACGTTTCGAGGAAGTGTGTTTGGCGATCTTTTGTTTGAATCAGCAGCCTTGTTTCTCTAAGGAATACAACACTAGAGAATAAGAGAAATGTCGGTATAGAGAAAGGCTGGCGTCGTCTTGAGACTTAGATGCTCCTAGCGAGATTGCTAACAGCTTATTAAAGCTACAAACACATTTAGGGTGCATCGACCTTACCCACTCTCTTCTCTCTTTCTCTCTCACTCTCTTATTCTGCTATCCTTCCAAATGGTGCTAGAGGAGTCTTGCAGCTCATAAAGCGATTTCTACGACTTAAAAAATTCCTTTTTTGCAACTCCGACCGTCCAGAAGTAATCTATAATCCTAAGAATACTCAGTAAATACCGAGATAAAGGTTGAAGTTAGATAGACCTTCCAATGTTAGAGAAACACGTGTATTTTTGTCTAAGATAAAAATCGTAAACATTTGAAAAAAAAAACTTCTCTTAGAGATTTAAAGAATTTTTATTAAACTTTTCGCATTAGAAAAACGATATATAAAATTCTTTTCCTTTTTTTTCTGGAAAAAAGTTTGTTGACTAGGATCGTGTTTTCTTTCTTTCTTTCTTTCTTTTTTAATATTTTAATGTGTTAGCGAGTATCCGTACAAGTTCCAAATGGCATAATTCCAAAATTATGTGGGTCTTCTCGATGACATCTCGCGTAAATATAGAATGAATGGTGCAAATTTGGATGACTTTGGCATTGCCATTCAACTTAGTCTACTACCAACGGAGCGATGTATAAAAAAAGAAACAAAGAAAATGTTAAGTAAATTTGAAAAAAAGATGCACAGAGTCCATTTAACCGTATCTTCGTGAGAATTAAAGCGATATGCTTTTATGGTTTAGCAGCATTTGTAAAAAGAGGTCATGGAGATGATAAGAATATCCAGTTTCTCTCACAAACAAAATTATAATTGGAGCATTGGATATTTTGTCCTCTTAAAGAGTAGGGAAAAAACTAATTAACTCGTATCCTTTAAGAAATTTGGTTTCGATAAGGGGAAAAAAAGAAATTGAATTAACAGCTGTCGGAGTGATCGAATCGTTTTTTAAATTTTTTTCTTTATTATTATTTTTTTTTTTGAAGTAAAGAAATCAGTCAAGTATATTTTACTAAACACTAAATTAGTGATGAAATTTCTTTCAACATCTGTTGGAGAATCTTTCTTTTTTTAAACTACATTTTTTTTAAATTTATACCTTAAGCACATTTGTATCATTTTTCAAATGGATAAAATACACTATTATTTAGTGAAATCTGAAATTATTTTGGAAAATCTTACTGAAATGTCTAAATTAATAATTTATTTTTGGATTTTTCAGCATTTATTCTTTGCTTTTTGTTCACAAAGTGTTTTTTTTTTACTTTGCTTTCATATTTCTTTGCTTTTCCTTCATAATTATCTTTACTTTTTTTGCTTCTGTTCATAATTATCTAGTAAAATTTGTTTAAATTTTATCATTTTTTCAGTGAAAAAGATGTTAAAAACGCAAGATTACGCATTCATAAAATATTCAACACGTTTATTAAGTTGGGAGATATGTTTGGGGGAATTTGATGACTCAATAAAACCACATGCTGTTAATAGTTGTTAAAAAAAATGCAGAGAGGGAGAGAGAGAGAGAAGAGAAGGAAGAAGACAAGAAGCGAGCAATATTTAATGCAACTACAAGTTGTATCAATCAGTTTAGCCATGTAAACAAATCAAAGGCGTAAGATGCGATTCAACAGACTATTAGTCGTCGTCCATCAACAAAGCATAACCATTGACGTTATTACTGATGCATAATACATCAGTCAGTCCAATCTCTTCCATTGTAAAAGGAATCAAGCGGATCCTATTCATACTTTGTGAATGCAATCGGAGAAAGTTTCATTGGTGAAGTATTGTTATGTTCCAAATAACATTGGAAGATATTCTTGTAACTGCTGTCTATAAATTTTGGTTTCAAGATGCAATCTCATAAAAGATACTCGTCTTATTATTATTATTTTTTTAGAATTCTAAGAAAAATTGTACTCTTCGCCTTTGTTACCAGATTCAACTTGTTTTCTACTATTTCGAATCAAATTATTTGAATTTATATCGACGATAAATATATTCAGAATGACTAACGTTTCTCGTTCGTCATTTCCTTCTTTACAAAATGGCATTCGCTTGGATGGAGGAAACTGCTTTAACTGACGGATTTATGACAAATGAATTGTTGTAATAAGTGATAATTCCGGTTGTGCCTGTAAGATCATTATCTTATTTTGTATCCAAGAAGACCATTTGATTATTTTGGAGATTCTCTTCCATCTTTATGGAAAGAGAAAGGGAGCGAGGGAGAGAAAGAGAGAGAGAGATGGTATTAGTTTGGGCGTTGTTTGCTTTTATTGCTTTCTATCCATTTAATATGGTCACGAAATTCGTGAATTTGGAGATTACAGTACTTTGGGATCATTATGAATCGATAAAGTAGTTTCGTACGACTTTTTTTTTTTATTCCATTTTTGATTGCTAACAGGCAGGAAATGTGATTAAAATAATGGTAAAAATATATAATCGACCTATTACGTATTTATCGAAAAATAATTTAATACATCTAACATTATATTAATTACATTTGATAATTTTGTATTAACATCCGAAGTAATTCAGTTTCGTTTAGGGCCAATCATTAGATTCTCCGGCATTACCTCATGGAGTCGGCGATGACGTCATTAGTGTAGACCCTCACGAAAATAAATTGATTTATCGTTTTGGATTTCGATCGGAGCGGTATACAACTGGATCTATCCACTTTAAGTTCATTTGTCGGGAGGAGAGAAAAATACTTCCAATTGGCTTCAATTCTTTTAGTTTGTACAACTTCGCGACGATGAAATGATGATCAACATTGTTTGGCCAGATAGCTTGTTGAAATATCGGGTCATATATTTTTCTAAGTGACTCTTGGAAAATGAGATTGTAGCGATAGAGGTCTGGACACTGTTGAAGTGATCTACAGAATGATCTGGCAAATAACATCCCTTCACCACTAATAGCTAATAGTACCATCTCTCATTAGTACAGCGACATATTAAGGACAAATGATTAATTTTTTATTTAGGAAATGATAGTCGAGATCTTGAAAGAAATTAACACTTCTGTTACCGTACGACGTGCTTCGCTGACTACTCCATTGCAGATGTTCACAATTTTACTATAAAAACTCAAATTTAATCTTTTTCACGTTGCTAATAGACAGTACGACTATCGCTAATTAGTCTATATGTAGTGATTTACATACAAGAAAAGCGATTATGCATTATTAATAAGGACACGTTTGACTTATACATTGATTTTCGCTTAGTTTAATAACTCTCTTAGAATATATTTTAAAAATATCAAAATAATTGATATATATTTAATATTTTTTTTATCTTAATAGTTTTGTTAATATCTTATATTTATTTTTAAGTCCCTTATAATTATGATGCTGAATTTCTTGATGTTTTCTGTTTTCTGCACTTCTGATGATGTTTTCTGTGTCGGATAATTTCTTCGATCAGTTTTTTTTATCGAATAGTAAAGTTCCGAAAGGGGGAAAAACTGTAGTTTTTATAGAAAGAACCAAGAGAGGTCGATGGCTCCAAGAACAACACGATTCTTTCGTTTCCGATCAGTTTTATTGGCTCTTCAAAGTAGCATTCACTTGAAGGAATTTAGGAATCTTCTTACTTTAAGGCTTCTGTTTTCTATAACTGGAACAGTATCATCTAAACATTATTACTTGCAGACAGTAAGTTAACACCATAAACCATTTACAACTCGAGATTCATTAACTGAATACCGTACCGACTACAACAATATTACACAGTATAATAAACAGGAGATGCATCGTACTTTAACACAATTATTCGTAGACAAATAAACAAGTTGGACCTCTAAAAAAATTCTTGCTATTAAAAATAAGAAGCATGCTAACTCGCACGGAAAAATTACTTACTATAAAGCCAATAGTGGAAGTGTGCATCACCAGACATCGCCCCAGGTGTATAGAAGCATCAAGTTTTGGTGTAAACTACATTACTGGAATGCAAGCGGAGATTTATTCTATGCAAACGAAGTCGAATTTTCTGTAAATATTAACATAGCCGCCAGCATTCCATTACAAGTTGGGTATGAGCGTGTGTTGTGATTGCAAGATGCATCAATCAATTCTTTGACAAGCTCCGCCACTGACAAAAGGTAGGAGACAACTACATCGACATCTAGATGTTATTCAAAGCACTATTTTCCCGTTTGATTGATTTAAGACGATCAGGTCTACTTACAAAAAATGTACCGGATAAATTCGAGTATGGTTACTTTTAACGAACCGAAGCTTGGTGTAATGTGTTGAATGCACTTATGCAGACAATGTTCTCTTATATTGTCTTTAACAACACTCATATTGTTTTATGGCGTTGCAATTCATGAGGTGAGCAGTCATTGGCAATGCACGAATTTTCCGCTTTCCATTAACACAGTAGGCATTTATGAAGCTATATTATACAGTCGAGTCGTTGCACTTGGCTGAATTAGATAATGGCCTTAAAGAATAGAGTTGATTTCATAAGTGATGTTACGTACAGAATTATACTAGATAACTCATAGTTTAAAAAAATTCATTGATATCATTACTGATATTGAACATATATCTTTGAAATTGCTTAATGAAGAAGTTCGTGCTTTTGTAATATTATCTGCAATTTTCTACTTGTTTGCCAGATGGAGAAGAAACACCAGTTTTGTATTTTTACGTACTATCCATTTACTCTTCTTACATTTTTATTTTTTCTAATGATGTTTAACACTTATTTACACAAAATTTAATTGGCTAAAACACTTTTCTGAAAAAGAATTAACATTGTAACAAATACTAGCATTATAATGTTGAATATTCTTATCGTCACGAAAATGAAAAAGAAAGAAAAAAACTCAATTCTAATCTTTCAAAATCTCAAATTAGAAACTCAACATTTAATATTACTTAGATATTTCTTCTAAAGATGAAGGGAGGAAAAAAAATCGATTTTTCTGAAAGAGAAAATTCTCTGTTGAAGGGGAAAGAACAGTTAATAAAAATATAAATTCAGATAAGGATGCAGATAGTCTCCTTCTCCAAACATATCACATTTCGTTCAATAAAACGATGAATCTAATTTTGTTAAAATAAAATTTATTAACCGAATATATTGAAATTGTTAACCGCGTTATCCTTTATATGATTTTCTTTATGCATATCTATATTTCTTTTTAATTTTTTTTTTTTACTTTTTTAGGTGGTTGTTGAGTCCGTGACAAGTGCTTTTGAATATAGCGACATTGTTATTGATGATGGCCGAGTTGTCAACCAAGACATGTTGTTCGATAAAAGCAAGGATTTTCTGTACGTTATGACGGATCGAAAGGTAAGTGCTTTTTTTTATAGACTTATTGAAGACTAGACAAAGATATCTACTGTGGATTGTTTCTCAACTCCTCGTTTCTAATTGGGATCCTTCAAACTTACAAACAATGTGTGCTTCCAAGAAACTTGTCTTTGTGCGTGCTTCTCGAGACTTTATTGATCTTTCGACGTCACTCATACTTATAGGAGACAATCTTAGGTTAAAGACTTTTAACGGCCGTGTTGTTACTATTTTTAGTTACTTTAATTCCTATTCTAATAATTTAATTAGTATTAAGAGACTGGTTGTGATTAATGCTCTCAAATGTCGAGATGTTCCGACTGCAATTTGCGTAATTTGTTTATGTTCTTATTATTTCAAAAAATCGGTAAATGTAGGCCTATGCATAAAAGAGCGTTTTTAAGGATTTGGAAATTGTAGAAAAAGATCGATTACATCAAAATTAGATAAAAGATCATCTCGTTTACGCTTTAAAATGAAACTTTTATCGAATTTACAAATGAATGTATAGAAAATTTGGAAACAAAATCTAATAATTAAGAAAAAATATAAATAGAAGTTAATATAAAGAAAAATAGAACTGGATTACAACCTAGTGCACTCTGTTTAAGTAGTTATTGCCAAGAAATATATTTTTAATATAGAAACCAGTCTGAGCTCTCACAACTGAAATATTTATTGTTTTGGTTCTCACGGTGTAATTAATGTGGTATTCTTGACTGCTCTTCTCTAGTCCAACCTAATTCACCAGATAATAACCCCGACTGCAGACTGTCTGGAGATTTTATTAATTGCTCTTCCCCAAAAACAATTTGTTTTTAATTCGAACGTATGGAAATTGTGATTCACTTTGAAAAATTACCATTAATAATAAAAATAGTTTCTTTTGTCGACGACGTTATTTATGTTCTAATTAATTGAGAGTTTTAAAGAAGCAATTAACGTTTAAAAAGAAAAGAATAACAAAAATAAAATCAGCATTAAATGGAGCGAATAAAAAAAAGAAGAAATAATGCCATTTTAGTTTAGATACAAATACAATTTTCTGCATTTTATATTTGTTGTTTATTCCCAGTTAGGTTCTCGTTTTGGGTATTCGTTTGAAGATTTTACTTCAATTCAAAAGATCCGGAAAAAGGCTGTTTGCTTCAAAATCGTGTTTCGGTTCAAAATGAACATGTATTGGTAATGTACAAGTAGCGTTTTTTGAGGTGTTTTGTTTCGAATGGAAACCAGTCAATTCTATCAGAAGTGGGGAGTTCTTAACAGAACATTGCCATCGAATTCACTTCGCCTTATTTCTCCTGTTTTCTTGTATTGTTGGAGTGACCTCGGTCTTCGATCAGAAAAGCGCTATGACTGGAAAGCAATTACGCCACACGCTTTGAAATCTGGAACTGCATTCCGATGCTTATACAATCTCACAGGCCGCTCCTCTGCAACCAACAACCTTTACAGCAACCACATATGGATTGGATGTGCCCGAAAATGTCGAATCTATGGCTTTTCTGTCCAGAAATTATTGTATGTCGGCTGTATCACGACGTCGTTGGAGTCAATTACCAACCAAACGTGAGAAGAGAGTGGAAGATATTTTCGTTATATGAAACCGGTAAAAAAAAAAAAAAGAGATATTTTGGCTGAGTAATTGAAAACGAACCAATTCGAGAATAGCAGGAAATGAAATTGTTCGAGTAATAAAGAATAACTGTCAAACAATGTCCCTTATCCAGTGACTTTGGCCATTTCTTAAATCGTATTGATTATCGCTAGTAATGAAATTACTTGACTGAATGAGACAAACGATAGGATGTCGCATTGGAGAAGTAACTTATGTTATACTTTTCAATGCTCTTTTTTGTTTATATTTAAAGAAATTAATGTGTATTACAGATAACTACATGCAAATTTACTTTATTAAACATTTAAAATATTTTATCGTATAATATATGAAGATGTTCTTCAGATAAAAATAAATTTTTCATCATAAGTTGATGATATATTTACTTTATTAACGAATTTCAATCAGCCGTAAAAAATGTCTTGATGACGTTATAGAAAAAGTTAATAATTTTTACGAGGAGCCATTCGTTCCAATTGGGATTTTCAAGATTAGACTTAACAATTTAATATAGAGGCAAATAAAATTAATTTCGATAAAAGGTCAGTGACTGCAAAACCGCACGGTTTCATCCGTATGATTTTCTAAGAATTATTGTGGCACCAACTGTCCTAGCACATATCCAACTACAACTACAATTATAATGGCCGAAGTCTTTACCACACCCACTCCGTGACAATCAGTCGAAAACATTGCATGATGTACCTTCATAACATCTCTATCGGGTTTTGGCCCCAACCTCTCTTACTACAATTCCCGACACGCAAGAAGAGAAAATATTTGAATCACTTTTACTTGACAGCATATCAGCATGTCTTTTGTTCTTCGTTGTCAAATGTTAACTTCATCATCAGATATTGACCAAAGAAAGAAGTTTCCCATTCTTCGACATTAAGAAAACTTCATATTTTGATTCTCGATTAAATTTTGAATTAAATGTTTATCGTATAAATAAGGATTAGCTGTTTAAACTCGAATAAAATGTTCCGGGATAGTTTAGATACTACCAATAGGGATCTACAAAATAGGATTTACATTTTCAATTTTAACAAAGTGAATTTTTCATATCAGAATCTATCAGGTCAGTTTGTACGTTCACTCTTCTTACATGTTAGAAAATTATCCATAAGTTATATTATATAGAGTGTTTTTCCACCCAAAGGCACCCAAATATATCTTCAATCCAATCCCTTTTGCCTGGAAGCAAATTGAAATATTTGCAGAAATAAAGATCCTGAAGAGAAAGAAAAAAAATTCGAAACGGTTTCTTTTGAAAATTGGGAGTTAGAACAGGAAAAATTTGAAAATATTACACTTTTTTATTTCTTTTTTATTCGTAGATATCTTCGATGGTTTGTTTAGTCATTTTGTACAACGAAATATTACATGTATCGGTTAAATGTTTAAGAAAAATAGATCAAGATTGCTAAAAGATGATGTTCTCCTAAAAACGATATTTTCCTTCAAAAAAGAAAGAAATAAAAATAAAAGAAAAACAAAGGATTATGGATTATATCTTTATATTTTTCAATCAGGAAATATAAAATAGGATTTATAAAACTTTGAAATATATTCTTATCATCTATCATAAATTCACTTTACGATTTTTANTCTGCTTATATTAAAATATTAATATTTTCTATTCCTTATATTATAATACTAATAGCTTTTACTCCTATATTATAATATAAGGAGACACAGATAACAATATAGTAAAAGCAGAAGATACTAGCTTTATAATTTAAGAAACAGAAGATATTACTATTTTAATATAGGTAGTAGAAGGCAGTAACAACGCTATTAAAAGGAAAGGATACTACACATAAGCATCAGTAACAGAAAATTTAATATTATAGTACAAGTTTCAGATAATAACGATACAATAGGAATAGGAGATATTAGCATTAAGATATAAGGAACAACAGAAATTAATAATAGGATAGGAGAAGATATTATTATAAGGTGCAGAGAATATTAAATTAATGCAAGAATAGAAGATAGTGTAGAAAGAATTATTAATAACGTATAAAAGAGGGCAGCAATAGTACAACAGAGCACAAGATGTTAGTATATTAGTAGGAGCAGCATTTGATAGTAACATTATAGCGGAAGGAGCATATAATATAATACGACAGCAATGAAACAGTAGTAATAGAGGAAAATACAATATCCGCAATATACAATGGAAATTAATTTCCCTAAATAATTTGTCGTAGATAAAAGAGCATAAGCTTTTATATTTCATAGTTTATATAAATACTTAGTTGGAAAATTTGTATTTTTTTCTTATTTGACAGATAATAGATTTATTTTGGGATTAAAGAGTCGTAAAATCAAATCTGCCTTCATCCGCATCCGAGATGTTCGAATGTAATATTTCGTATTTCCTCTCCTGGGTTAAATTCCGCCGAATTGAATGAATTACAAAATTTGTTGGCAGAAAGTAAGACGAATGAGGCAGATAGTCAAATGAGTGTTCTATATCCGCACGTGCTCCATCCAATCATTTCCGGTTCTCTTAATGATTCCGGTTGCTTCTGATTGGCTCAATCGGAAATAAAGATGAGTCCAGGTGCAAATTTTTGGCAATAAAATGTTCTTCTGATAATCGTGTTTTTCTCCAATTTTTTCTTCTTTTCTTTCTTTTATATTTCGAAAATTTCAGATGGGAATAAGGTTGAAACATAAAATTTTTATATCCAAAAATAAAGTTTTTTTTTTCATTCTCGAAGAAATATTTATATATATATTTAAAAAAATCAATATATATTTTTATACTAAGATTAAATAAGTATATTAATGTAAATTTTAAAGTATAAAATTTAAAATTCAATCAATATTAAACCTTGGTTTGAGTATTAAATCTTATTGGTTAAGATTCAAATTCAAAATTTTGTATTCGCCCAATGGAACGTCTTCTTTGTTTTACGTATTATTTAAATAAAAAAATTATTCTAATCAAATTTCTTTAAAGAAAAATAATAATAAATGACGAAGATTATTAATTTTTAAAATGATTTTTAAAACGTATAATCGTTATAAATTGATATCATTCGAAATATTTTTGTTTTTTATTCTTTAATTTATGGTTATTAAAATAAGTTATATTTTATTTTATTTTTTTTAAATTATTGAATAAAGTAGTTAAATAATCCATAAAAACAATTTCAATTAATTAAATTGGGAGATTCTTCATCATAATAATATTAATAATAAGATAATAAAGTTAGCATTTTGTTATTGATGTTGCTCGAGGATTATAATAATCTTAAAAGTAATTAATTTTAATTTAATTTTTTTAATATTTCGACTCGAATTTTTTGTTTAAAATCAAAAAGAACCTCCTTGACTAGTGGCGACATCTAGTGAGGTGGAGTTT